TAGCAGTAGACTTATATACCGCTTCATAGGCCTTTCAGGTCTCTCTAAGCGGTTTACAGAGAGTCAGCATATTGCCCCCAACAATCTGGGTCCTCTGTGGGGTCCCTTGTGCACCGAATCGTTCCCCGCGGTTGACAGGGAGAGGATCTCACTTCACAGGAGCCACCCAAATGAGGGCTCGGTGTGAGGTCTGAAGCCAGATTTGGGCCAGGGGTCTCTCAAACCCTTTCAGCATCTGTAGCAATTCCAGAGGCCCACCTTTGAGCTGGTGCCCTGCTATTTTCCTCTCCCCACCGCTGCTCTCCCCACAGCCCCTCCTGGATCCCCTTCTTGGTGGGAGCCCTCCCCCAGCTCTTCACAGGCTGAAGAGGCCACGTGCCCAGAAAGGGGCCCGGAAAGGACGTGAAGGGGGCCCAGCCCCAAACCCCTTCGGCCTCTGAATGAACCTGATTGCAGCCTTTGGGGTGGGCATCCAAGGGGCAGAGTTGACCGCCTTAGCCTTACAAATAGGGGCCAACTCCCGCCACAACTCCCGTGTGTATCCCAAGCAGGGTTACCTTGCGCAGATCAGCAGCCCAGGCAGGAATTATTTGATTGATTGATTGATATGGCCGCCCTCTCATTCTAAGTGACCCTGGATGGCTTATAATAAATAAATGAAGAATGATGGAGAATAAAAGTCATTTGGTTGGGTCACTGAAAGCCACGCAGAGCCTTAAAAAAAGCAGTGAAGTGTCTCTCCTGCTGTTTAACTAGGACCCCCAAGGGGCTCCTCCTTATTTGCCAAGGCAGCCCTGAATCTCTTCTCTAGGACCCCTTTTGAGGTGCCTGGGTGTCCCCCCAAGCCCACAGCTGGGTCTCTTTCCCGGCTGCCTGTTCTCCCCTGACCTTGACGCTGCTTAAGCTCCTGCAGGATTTTTGAGCAGTTCTCCCCCTGTCACAGGCCCATCACTAATCCCCCCCCCCTGGGATTAGGGCTCCCCCTTCGGGCTTCTAATCTGCCAATACGTGAATTTTCAGCTGGTTTCCGACTGACGCTCTGTTGCCAGGCTAAGCCTCCCTAGGAGGAGACTGCTGAGCCTTCCCACTCCAATGGGGGTGGGGGCTGATCCCCTCCCTCTTAGCAGCTGGAGGGGGGCCCCAGATTGAGCCCAACACTGATGGGGGATCTGTAAAAACTGGGCATGGTTGACCTGGAGGAAGCATAACATTAATAGCCCTACAGATAAGACACGTTTCTGATGCATCAATCCTACCCTGACATCAGGGCGGGGAGGGGGCACGGCTGGCTCAGAAATTCTGGGAGTTGGGTGCCCCAGATATCTCCTCCTTACAAGGACCTGATGCCCAGAAGACAGAGTTAGGCCGGTTGTGGTCATTAATAATGCCAGAAGGCTCCGGGAGCCGATGGAAGACCCACTGAAATAGGGTCAGCAACAGAAGGAGACCCAGCCAAGGTTTTAGCCAGCAAATCTGTAGAATGACGTTGTAGAGAAGCCAAAGCTACAATAAAGAAGCACGATAGGAAGAATAACAGAGTTGGAAGGGACCTTGAAGGTCTTCTAGTCCAGTGTTTCTCAACCTTGTCAACTTGAAGATGTCTGGATTTCAACTCCCAGAATTCCCCAGCCAGCATTCGCTGGCTGGGGAATTCTGG